GCTTTTCTCGGGCTGTGTAATTATTGCCGAGCTTGGATCCCTCACTTTGCTGAAAAAACACAGCCATTGCTAGATTTGATCTACTCCTCCCCTATGGCAATAACAGACAAAATACAATGGAACTTTGAGGCCGAGCAAAAGTTTGTGGAGCCTAAAAAGGAATTTATGTCATCTACAGTTTTGTCTTTACCTGACTACCAAAAACCTTTTGATCAGATGATCGACTGGAAAGACGGTTTTATGACCTCTGTCTTATTGCAAGAACAAGGTGGCAAGAAAAAGCCTATAGCTTTCTATTCTAAACGGCTGGATCCTGTAGCCCAAGCTCTCCCAGCATGTCTACAGGCTGTGTCTGCAGCTGCAACAGCTGTAGAATGCTCATCAGATGTTGTCCAGTACCATCCGCTCACATTACATGTCACACATGCAGTGGATGTTTTACTATTACAGGCTAAGATGAATTTCCTGTCACCAGCTAGACATCTCTCATACACAGCCATTCTCTTATCCCAACCTCACATTCAGATTAAGAGATGCACAACATTAAATCCTGCAACACTCTTACCCACTGAGCATGATGGAATACCACATAACTGTATGGAAAGAACAGAACAATTGCAGTTACCCAGACCAGATATCTCAGATATCCCATTAACTGAGGGAGAGGTGTGGTTTGTTGATGGCTCCTGTTTCAAAGATGTTAAGGGTAGCACCCTGACTGGTTACGCTGTTGTTGAATCTCCTTGTAAAGTGATAGAAGCAAGCCAAATTCAGTCTGTTCACTCAGCACATGCGGCTGAGCTTATTGCTCTGATTAGACCTTGTACGTTAGCTAAAAGTCAAAAGGTTACCATCTACACAGACAGTCAGTATGCCTTTTCCACTATCTTCTTTTTTGCTAAACAATGGGACAGAAGAGGAATGATTACTGCTACGGGCAAAACAATAACACATGCCAGTTTACTGAAGCAGCTTCTCCAAGCTATATTACTACCACAAAACATGGCCTTGTGTAAATGTGCAGCACACAAAAAAGTGAAGGATGCGGTTTCCTGTGGTAACAGACTTGCAGATGAAACCGCTAAACAGGCAGCATCAGGGGTGTTTGGTATGTCTGATAGCCTTTAGCATTTCAACTGTCCTAAGCAGACTTGAGCTTAAGTATGTTGTCGACTCACAGACCAGAGTACACGAGTTAGAGTGACAAACTGAACTTTTTCTAACTGAAAGAGAGGAACTGGATTTACAAAATGTTCCTCAGCAGTTATGGTCAATGGGCCCAAAAGATATACGTCTAATTACAACTATTTCTCCAGTTACCATTCAACCAAAATCACAATGGAGGCCCAGAATAAAACAGTACCCTCTAAAGAAGGAAGCACATGAGGGTATCAGAGCAGTTGTAAAATATTTACTCATGGCAGGAATAATCAGACCATGCTCTGATTCCCCATGCAATACTCCCATCTTTCCAGTCCAAAAGGCTAATAAAAAAGATTGGAGAAAGATTCAGGACCTGTGAGCTGTAAATCAAGCTGTACAGACCAGAGCCCCTAATGTTCCTGATCCGCACACTCTGTTAAACACTTTAAGCCCTGAAAACAAGTATTTTTCAGTTACTGATTTAAGTAAAGCTTTTTTCTCAGTACAAATTCATCCTGACTGTCAATATTGGTTTGCTTTCACATTTGAG